TGTAGGTGCTTGTACACATACTTGTACTTTACTTGTATAGGTATACAAACACATATACACTCATACAGTACACATAATCAAATACATACATGATGTATATTACATTAATATATATATATATATATKTATATGTRTWTGTGTGTGTGTGTGTGTGTGTGTGTGTGTATGTACTGTATGTGTAATACACATTATGTATGTGTTTGAATGTGTGTGTGTGTGTGTGTGTGTGTGTGTATGTGTGTGTGTGTGTGTGTGTGTGTGTGTGTGTGTGTGTATGTGAACTGTATGTGTGTGAATGTGTATGTATTGTATATATGTATGTATGCATGTGTGTATGTGAACTGTATGTATGTGTTTGAATGTGTGTGTGTGTGTGTGTGTGTGTGTGTGTGTGTGTGTGTGTGTGTKTGTGTGTATGTATGTGTGTGTGTATTAAAAAATACTAGTATTTTTTTTAAAATAATTATTAATTCAATTTTATCAATTAGGGTGATTCAGGTGGACCGTTAGTTGAATTATGTATGTATACTATGATTAGCTGTATTATTATTAATAAAAATAAATCAATTAATAAATTAATAAATTATATATATTTTTTTAAAAAAGATGGTGGCCGATATTTTATGGTAGGTGTTGTATCGTTTGGAGCTACCTGTGCTGGTTAGTAGTAATAGTAGGGGGGGGGAAAATAATAATATTAAATTATTTAATTAATTTTTAATTAATTAATAGATAAATTTCCCGGTGTTTTCACTCAAGTATCTTATTATCTTCAATGGATTATCGATACGATTAAAAAAAATTAATAATTATTTTTGTTTCATTTATTTTTATATGTACTGTAAATAAATAATAATACAATTTATAGAGAGAGAGAGAGTTTAATAATTTTTTTTTATTAATTAACTATTAGTAGACTCCTATTGATACTAATTTAGTTTTTTTTACAAAATTGTTTAAAAAAGTTTTTTWAAAAAATACTATTAATATAAGTAAAGTATTTATTATATTGAGTTAATTATTAAAAAATAACATAATTAATAGTATTTAGATTTTATATATATATATATATTTATAAAATATATATATAATTTTTTAGTAATTAATTAATTATTTAAATCAGAAAATAATAAAATATTTATTATCAAAATATTGGTTTGTATTATACATAGAAATATATTAAAATTTTTATTTTAAAAATAAATTATGTTTTTTTTGTTGTTGTATAAAATTAAAAATTAATTAAAAATGTCTGATTTTTACTGTATTTATTTATTAACTATTTTTTTTGTTGAGTAAATTAAACAAACAAAAAATTTAGTGCAAAAAAATTAATAATTAAAAAATATTTTTGTGTATACAGTATATCAATAATAATAATAATACTTTTTGAAGTTTATATATAAACACTTATTAAACTAAAAAAAAAATGTTGTAAACAATGTTTAATATAATTACAAGTATATCTATTATCATATGTAAGTACATTGTGTTATTAAATAATAATAATTAAAATTGAAATTGAATTTTTGGTTTTTTTTAAAAATAGATATTTATTTCAAAACTATTCATACTTATCGAGATTATTATTATTATGATTATAATTATGATAATAATAATGATTATTATTACGACAATAGTAAACAATTAAATGACTATTATCTATACAACAACTATAATAAAATATATGCTAATCATAGATGGGACAGGTATTCAACTATTGGTGATAATAATAATAATAATTATCATTTATCATACTACTGGCCATCATCACAATCATCATCATCATCAGCACCAGTAGATGATAGTTATAGTAGATATGGAGATAAACTATTAGACAATTATAAAGCAAATAGTAATAAGAAAATTAGTAAAAATAAGAAAATAAAAAATAATAAAAAAATTAATAATAATAATAATAATAAGAAAAATAATTATATTTATAATGATTTTAATGTTAAATTAGATATTAATAAGAAAAATGTATTTATTTTCAATACTAATGATGACGATAGTAGTAGTAGTAGTAGTAGTGATAATAGCAATGATGGGACAGTTAGGTCGCGATCAATATATGAGAGTATGTTTGGCAAAGATAGCGATGATAAGTGGCGATGGGGTAAACCCAGTGGTGGTGGTAGTGGTAGTGGTAGTGGTAGTGGTAGTGGTAGTGGTGGACAACCTGATGATGGTATAGGTAGTCAACTGTACGATCCGAGTTGCGGCTATTCAGACGTAGGCGTAACGAGGATTGTTGGCGGCCGTGAAACACCCGACGGTCTATATCCGTGGCTGGTGGCCGTATTAAGGGACGGGGATGTATGGTGTGGCGGTACTATTGTCAATAGACAATGGGTAAGTAATTGTATTTTTTTAATAAATATATATATATTTATGTATAATAAATATAACAATAGATATACAGTATAACAACAAACAAAATATATTGTATATAARTATATATATATATATAAATATTTTTATTAATTTAGAAATTACTTAGAAATTACTTAGAAATACAATAAACTTAGAAATTATTATTATTTTTTAAATTAATTAATACATTGTTTTTTTGTTGTATACAAAGTTTATTTAATAATTATTTATATTTTTCAAAAACTACTTAATATAATATATAAAAATTATTTATTAAATATAAGATAATATACAAAAAAAAAATATTTAAATAATAGATTTTTATTTTCTGATTAGTTTTATTTGTGTGTGTGTGTGTGTGTAAAAGTAATTATCTAATTTTTAATTAAATATTATAATTAATTTTAAAAAATCTATTTAATTAGTTTTAAATGTTTATCATTATTATAATATTTTTATTATTTGTTTGATTGTTTTGTTTGTTACAGATATTATTGGCATCACATTGTTTTGCAAGCCCTGGGTATGTATGTATTTGTGTGWGTGTGTGTGTGTATGTGTATGTGTATGTGTGTGTGTATGTGTGTGTGTGTGTGTGTGTGTGTGTGTGTGTGTGTGTGTATGTATGTGTGTGTGCGTGTGTGTGTGTATTCAAACAATTTATAATTTATTTATTTAAAAAAAATAATATTTAAAAAAACTTTTCCTTTTTAAAACTATTGATTTAAAACTGTTATTAAATTATTTCAATAATAAATAAATTAAATAATTATTATATTTTTGTTTATGTTTATATATATATATATACTGTATATATTAGACAGCCTACACCCGATCATTTTACCTGGGCTATTAGAGTGGGTACCAATAATAAAGATAAGGGAACTACATATAAAATTCATAAAGGTAATATTTTATTTTATACTAAAATAAAAATTAATATATAATTAAATTAAATAATTAATTAAATAATAAAATAAAATAATAAATTAATAATTAAATAAAATAATTAATAACTAATTAACTAAAATAAAATAAATAAATTACTAATTAACTAACTAAAATAAAAATACTTAATTAGTTAATTAACTAAATAAAATTAATTAATTACTAATTAAAATAATAAATTAATAAAAATAATAAAATAATTATTCACTAATTAACTAAATAAATAAAATAATTATTAACTAAATAGTTATAACACACGACCGATTCAATTTGGATAAAATGCTAAACTCGGACATAGCTATGGCCAAAACTAACCGTCCGATTCAATTCAGCCGATTGGTTAAGCCGGCCTGTTTGCCAAACAATAGCTACKCGGAACCGCGTAGCCTGAAAGTTATTGCCGCCGGCTGGGGTGCCCAGGCCTACGATGACAATACTAGTCCCGTAGCTAATCGGCTCCGGGATGTTAGCCTAACGTTGACCACCGACGGTGATTGCGATCGTAAATATAAGGCGAAAAAACGCCGAATCTATAAGTCCCAGCTGTGCACCTGGTCCTATGGTAAAGATTCGTGTCAGGTATGTCTAGATATAGGTGTAGGTGCAGGTGTTGGTGCAGGTGCAGGTGCACTGTAGTAATTACTGGGAAATTAATTAATAGAGAAATTTCTATTATATATTTATGGAGAAATTTCTATAATATATTTATAGAGAAATTTCTATAATATATTTATAGAGAAATTTCTATAATATATTTATAGAGAAATTTCTATAATATATTTATAGAGAAATTTCTATAATATATTTATAGAGAAATTTCTATAATAAATTACTGGGAAATTTCTATATATATATAAAAAATTAATAGAAAAATTTCTATAATAAATTAATAGAGAAATTTCTATATACATAATTAATTAAACACTTTTTATATTATTTTTATAGTTAATTTAGCTAAATGTTTTTTTGTTTGCTATGAATTAATATATTTATTATAATTATAATTTATCTATATTATATAAATATATATTTTATACATATATATATATATATATACAAAAAATTGTTTTTTTTAATTTTGTTTATTATTATTATTATTAATTTTATTTATAGGGAGATTCTGGTGGACCGTTAGTTGAAAAAAGTTAGTTAAAAATCCAAAACAAAATTATTAGTGATATATTAATTAAGTTATATTAATATAATAATTTCAGAATATAATTATTTTTTGTTTAAATATACAAATTAATTAATTATATAATACTGTATTATTAATATTAATATTGTGTATATATATATTTTTTTTAATTAGTTAGTAACCGCTATTTTTTGATTGGTATTGTATCCTATGGAGCTACCTGTGCCGGTAAATATATAAATATATAATTGCAATAATAATGTTATATTATTTACTTAAATAAATTAATAATAAAAAAATTTATAGATTTATATAAATTAATAAATAATTTTAATTTTATTTTAATTAATTATATTAATTATATTAAATAATTAATTAATTAATAGATGAATTTCCCGGTGTCTACACTCAAGTATCCTATTTTCTCAAATGGATTATCGATACAATAAAAAACAATTAAAATTTATTTTATTTTGTAAAAAAAATTCCAATAAATAAAAATATTGTAATTATATTATAATTTATATTAAATTAATTTATTTAATCGTTTAATTAATTAAAAATGTTTTATTTATTTATTTTAAATTTAAAATTTTTATTTTATTTATAATAATCAGTTATAATTTTAATGCAAAATATAAAAGAGTCAAAAAAAATATAATTTTAATATTTAAAAAAATTAGTTATTATTATAAAAAATAACATAAATCTAAATTATTTTATAACAATTTATTAATATATAATTATTAAATTTTTTCAACAAAAAAAATTATTATACAATGTGTGTGTGTGTTATAATAGAAATTGAATTTATTATTAAAATATAATTAATTAGTATATTTAGGAAAAATTTTTTTATATTGAATATTGATTTTTTTTGAATAGTTATAATTTTTATTTATTAATATTAATATTTATTAATTAATTTTTTTCCATTGTATTTACAATCCATTTGATAAAATAGGATACTTTAGTATAGACACCGGGATAATCATCTATATATAGATATATACATAAAAATATTTTTAATTAATTAATATGTGATTATAAAAAGTCTATTTATATATATATATATATACCGGCACATGTAGCTCCATAGGAAACTATACCTATTAGAAAAAATCGGTTGCCATCTATATAACACACAAACACATAATAATATAATATAAAATTTAATTATAACTATTATTATTATTTTAAATCTCAATAATAATAATAATATTTTTTTTAATGACCAAATAATACATACATTTTTCAACTAACGGTCCACCGGAGTCACCCTTTATTTATTTTTTAAAAAAATATATATAATAGACATATAAATAAATAGTCATATAATAGACATATAGATAAATAAATTTATAATAAATTATTTATAATTTATAATAAATTAATAATTTATAATAAATTTATAATTTATAATAAATTTATAATTTATAATAAATTTATAATTTATAATAAATTTATAATTTATAATAAATTTATAATTTATAATAAATTTATAATAAATATATATAATTTATTTATATATATATGATATATAATAATACAGTGTTTATACATACAACTACTTTAACCTCTATATATAATATTTATATATAATTTATATACACCTATAATACCTATTTAACTATATACTATATATACAAATATCCACCCACCCACCCAACCAACCACCCCACCCCACCCCATCACAACAAAAAAAACATATACATATACCTGGCATGAATCTTTATTGAAGGCCCAGGTACATAACTGGGACTTGTATATACTGTAACGTTTACGTTTATATTTATCGGCGCAATCACCTGGCTTAACCAATGTCAATGTAACATCCCGGAGCTTATTAGGCAGATCRCTATCATCAAATTGTTGGGCACCCCAACCGGCYACAATAACTTTGGTTGCTCGGGGCTCCGAGTAGCTATCGTTGGGCAGGCAGGCTGGCTTAACCAGTTCTGTAAACTTTATGGGACGGTTAGTTTTGGCCATGGCTATGTCCGAGTTCATCATGTTGTCCAAATTGAATCGTTCGTGTGTTATAACTGTTTTGTTATAATTATAATAATAATAATAATAATAGTAACCTACAGGTGCTTATGTTAACCAACCATACAAGTGCTTATGCATGTATATATGCATATATATGCATATTCATGTATATATATACTTATATATCTGCTTATATACATGCATGTATATATATATATATATATGCTTATATAAATATGCTTATATATATGCATGAATATATATGCATGAATTTATATGCATGTATATATATATATATATATATATATGCTTATATATATGTATGGTTGGTTATATATATTGATATATATATAAAGTTACCTTTATCTAGTTTGTAGGTAGTTCCCTTATTRCGATCATTGGTACCCACTCTAATGGCCCAGGTAAAATCAGTGTGTGGCTGTTTTCTATGTAGGAGGGGTGGGGGGGTGGGTGGGTGGGGGAGATATTTTTTTTTTTGGATAAAATAAAGTTAATTAATTGTTATTTATTTAAAAAAATAAATATTTTATYGAATAAATAATAATAATAATATAATACATACCCTTGAAAACAATGCGATGCCAATAATATCTAAATATTTATATTTAAAATAATTATGTAAATTTGAAAACAATAATAATTATAATTATCAGTTTATTATATAATTTTAAATAATGGTAAAATTAAAACTATTAATTTTTTTTTAAAATAGTTAACTAGCTATTAGTTAGAAATAATAATAAAATAATAATAATATAAATATAACTTTTTATTACAAATTATTTTTGTTTTGTTTGTTTATTTTGCTAAATAATACTGTATTAATGTAACTAAATATTAAAAAATACTTTATAATAATAATAATAATAATAATTTAACACCTATTTATTTAACAAAAAAAAACATATATAATAAATGTTTTTTTATTTTGTTTGTTTGTTTAATTGCTAATTAATACCTATATATATATACTGTATATACAGTATATATTAATGTAACTAAATATTAAAAATACTTTATAATAATAATAATAATTTAACAATTATTTAATTTTTAACAAAAAAATAATCACATATATAATAAATGTTTGTAATTTATTATATGATTTTTTTATTCAAAAATAAATAAATAAAATAAAACTTTTTTACTATACTATACCCATAACTACACATCATTACTAACCCATTGTTTATTGACAATAGTACCGCCGCACCAGGGATCACCGTTTTTCAGTACCGCCACCAGCCATGGATATTCACCTTCGGGTGCCTCACGACCGCCAACAATACGYGGGTTCTTGGAGAACGAATAGCCGCAACTCGGATCGTATAGCTGTAAGCCTAGGCCGTCACCTGTACTGCCACTGGATCGGCGACTTTTACCACCTTTTAGCTTAAACGATGTAACGACTGGACCACCAYCTACGGGACCACCCGCGGGACCGGGACTATCATGATCTACAATCATACTACTCAGCGGATCATCCAGCGATCGGCCTAATCCACGGATACGGGACATACTATCCGGATTGGTAGACATGTCTATTTGATGTCGATCGGCTAACTGATGTCTMGATGGATCAGCATCGGGGACTGGTAGAAATAATTGATGATGGTTGTCATCAACGTTGTTAATAGGATCGGATGACATATGTAGCATAGGTTTATWGTTGTTGGCTAGTGATGATGGTGGTGGTGGTCCAGCAGCTAACTGTCCTCCTCCATCTAGATCTGCATTGGCCATTAATAGTTTATCATCATCACCACCATAATCATCATTATTRCTAGCTAGATACCGGAGCCGCCTATTATTATTATCACTTTGGTAGTGTCTATTGTAGGTGTTTCCTCCTCCTCCTCCTCCTCCTCGCCGATAATAACCATTATTATAACGATAATCTCGATAGGTTTGTATCGTATGTATGTATAAAACTATTATTTAATTTTTTGTTTTGTTTTGTTTGAATATTCAAATTAATAAAAAAATTATTAAAATATTTGTTATAATAATTATTATTCTTGAAAATTATTTAAAATTATATATATATATATATATAATTTACTTACTTATTAAAAAACAAAATTTTAACAGTAGCATTTAGATGATTATTATTATTATTATTATTATTAATCATAAACATTTAGATATTATTAATATTAAATTAATTATTTAATTATTTAATTATATTAATAAATATTTTTGTTTATAGCATTTTATTTTATTAATATTATTAAAACAGACATTTTTTTAAAAACTATTTTTGAAATTATTTTTTTAATTAATTATTTATTACATATATGATGATTATTTAATATATATATGAAAAACATAATTATTTTTATTTTAAATACTAAATGTCTAAATAAAAAATTTTAATATCACTTATATGTAAATTCAAAAAAAAAAATTAAAATATATTTTTATTTAATAAAAAATATAATAATATAAAACTGTTTATTATTATTATCGTTTAAAATATAATATTTTTTAAAAAAAAATTGTAAACTAAATTATGTTTAAATTATATTTGATAGATTAATTCATAAATTATATTCAAAATTAATATTTATTTTATTTTTCATATACATACAAAAATAAAATAAAATAACTTATTGTTAAAAACAATAATTTTTAGATTTTAATTATAATATTACTCAAGAACAAAAAATAAAATTTAATTATATTAAAAACAACAAGTTAACTAAATTAATTAAAATGCAATTTACAAACACATACAAACAATATATATATATATATATATATAYATATATATATATATATATATATATATATATATATAYAYATATATATAWAYACACATATATACACACACATAYATACACATACACACACATATACACACACACATACACAYACATACACATACACATACATACACATACACACACATATACACACACACACACATACACACACATACACACACATACACACACACACATACATACACATACATACACATACATACACATATACACACACAYACAYACACATACACATACACACACATACACAYATACATACACACACATTAAACAACCAGTAGTTTAATTAAAAACTGATAATTTTTTTTTAATTATCCTTTAAAATGGACTACGAATTGGACTATCGTTAGTATTATCAGCGCTGGTATAAACTTTTGGACGACTTTCCATAGCACCCCAACCATGGGGTTGACCATCTTTATCATCACCGGCACCTTGTCTACCAGTTTGTTGTTGTTGTCGACTAGTTTCACTAATAGTTTGGGGTCGATAGCCGCCAAAAATCATTTCAAAAAATGTATCGACAGGTCCTTGTGCTGGCCTACTACTATCGGTAGGTGCTGCTGGTCTAGTACTATCGGTAGTAGTATCATAACTTGAATCGGTAGGCGCTGTTGGCCTACTACTACTACTACTACTACTACTATGGGTACTACTATCGTACCTAATTACTGGTGCTGGGGTAATTTTATAACTATTACTATTTTCAACTACTGGTGCTGATGGTGGTGGTGGTAGGGGTAGTGATCGTGTTTGGGGACTACCATAGTCGGGACCATAGCCGCCGAAAATTGTATCAAAAATAGACAACGGTTTCGGTTTAAGACTAGATTTTCTTCTATAAGGGTCGCCAGTCATCGGTGATCGGGATAACGGTGCTGATGGTCGGCGATGGCGGCGGTGGCGGCTGTATGTTGTTTGGTAGTCATCATTATAGTCATTATCATCAGCAGCAGCACCGGTATCTAAATACTGTCGATCTCGATGTCGTCTATTATCAATGTATCTGCTATTCAAATGATGATAATCGCTATCTACTTGTGCTGACTGTTGGTGTTGTTGGTGTTGACTATTATAATGATCGTAATAATCATTATTATAATAATTATTATTAAAATCTTGATAACTGTGTATCAATTGTAGATAAAAAATTGCTGTTTTTTTTAAATAAATAAATTTTAAAAATTAAAAATAAATTAGTATTAATTAGAAAATTATTAGTTTTAATTTTTTTGGGGTATAATTTTTTATAATTTTTTTTAAATAAATGTATAATAAATATATATTATATAACTTACATATGATTAGAAATTTTTTTATCATTATAGACATTATATATACAGTCTATATATTATTCATAAAATTTAGACATTTTTTTGTTCAACAAAAAATAAACAAAATTTAATTATTTAATATATATTTTTTGATTTATTTTAGTCTATTATTATAAATATGTATTTTAATTTATTATGTTTATAAAGCAGACATTTTTATTGTGTTATTTAATTTTTATTTAATTTTATTTAATTAAATAATTAAACATAACATACGACTATTTATTATTAATAAAAAATACTAATAATTACTTATTAATAATCAAAAAAATAAAATAAATAAATATAAATTAAATATAAATTTTTGTTTTGTTTTTATGAGTTTTATTTATAATTTAAAAAATACAATAATAAGCTAGCACAAATATTAGTACTTACAAAAAATATTATAATAATAATTAATAATAATAATAATAAAATTACATATATATAAAAATTTTCATTTTTTAAAATGATATTTATTTAAATTTAAAAAAAAATATTTTAGATTTTTTTTTGTAAATAGTTTACTGATATTTGATTTGAATAAAATTCAATATAAATTTATAATAATTTTTTTTTTAATAATTTTAATAATTTATATATTATTATAATATGTAACCAAAAAATAAATCGTTAGCCATAGCCATAGCCTCTACCATAACCTCCACTAATATTTTAATTAATTAAATAGTTTTTTAAAAAAATTAAATTAGTTATTATTGATAATAATAATAATAATAATAATAAAATTAATATATCCTTACTGTCCATAACCACCGTATCCGCCGTATCCTCCCCTATATCTACCGTAACCGCCGCCATAGCCCCCTCCATAGCCCCCGTAGCCTCCGTATCCCCCGTAACCACCATATCCTCCATAACTTATATATTTTAATAAAAATAATTAAAAAAAACAGATTTTAATATTAGTATTCAAATTAAAATAGTATTTTTCTATTAAATAAATAATTATTATTTATTTAAAAGTTAAATATACTATAAAGTAATTTAAATTATTATTACTAACCCATATCCATGAGCATCAATAATTGACACTGATAACATAAATAATAATAATATTAATGATAATGATAAACTTATTATTAGCACTTTATTTGACATTATTAACTAACTGTTAATATATTTGATTTTTTATTTAAAAAAAAAACTTTACTATCAATTGAAAATAAAATTTTTTTATATAAACTTTGAAACTGTTTTTTTTAAAGTTTTTAACTTTATCAAAATAAAACTTGCATGCTATTTTTATACCCAACATTGTGTTTATGTTTTTAAAAAAAAAATATATAATAATAATATTATTTAGAAATAGACATAACGTGATTAATAATCATTTGTAAATTAAAATTAAATAATAATAATAATTTTTTTTGTTATGGAAATTATGTTTTTTCCCAATATATATATATAACTTAAAATTAAAAACAATTAATATTACAAATATTAATAATAAATATTAGTCAAAAAAAAAAAATTTCTATTGTTTCATTTTTTGTTGTTTATTTAATTAGCCCATAATCAAGGTTATTTATTTTATATTGTTTATCTTATTTAAAATATTTACCGGTAATACTAATTGATATTATATAAAGTAATATATTTTTTTAAAAATAAAATATTTATTTAATAATTATTTAGAAATGTCTAATAGATTTACATATAAAAAATAAAATGTATTTATAAATAACTTTCAAAATAAAAACAATTATATAAAACAAATATATATATATATATATATATAGAAAAATAGTTTTAAACAAAATAAATATTTAATTGTTATTAAAAATGATTAACAAATTAATAGTAAAATTTTTGTTGTTGTAATTTTTCATTTTCATTATCTAAATAGTAAATTTTGACCTTGATGACAATTTTAAAATAAAAATTTATTTCACTGGGTTTTTACAATTTACAATATTTATTTAAAATATATATATATATATATTTATTAAATCTAAAAAACAATAATTAGTAATAATTTTTTGTTTGCATCAATGATAACAATTACTTTATTATTATTATTATTAAATTCAATTAATTAATCATTGCTATTGTCATTGACTTTTAATATTAAAATTATTTACATTATATATACAATGATTAATAATGTACTGTATATTATCAATTGAAATCATTTATAATTTTTTTATACAGTATATACTAAATAATAACATAAATATATTACTATTATTTAATCATAATATTTTTTTATTAAAAATACTATACAAGTGTAATGTTATATATATATATAATTTTTAATTATAAATTTAATGTAATAATTAACATATAATTTATTATTAATTTATAATATTAATAATAAATTTTTATTAAAAAAAATTATTAAGTAAAATCAACATTATCTAACATTATATTAATCTGCAAAAAAAACTAATTAAATTATAAAAATAATAACTAATAAAATATAATAATAAACATATGAATCAAATTTTTATTATTTTTTTTAAAAAATTATTTTAATAATAATAATCAGTTTTGTAAAATCAGTTTAGTTATGGTTTTTATAATATAATCATAGTTAAATATAATTAAATAAATTTATTTTTTACTTTAATTAATAATTACAAAATAATAATAATATTTAATTATTACTTGTAATAACAATTTTACAAAAATAAATTTTTTTTAGAAACTTTCTAGAAATTTCTCTATTATTTTATAAATTTCACTTTTTTACCTACACTACTATTTATATACACTGTATTATTAAATTAAAAAAAAATTATTTGTAATATAAAGTTTAATTAAAAACTTTTTTTTTAAATAATAAATTTATATAAATTTAACTAAATTTAATTAAATTATAACTATCTAACATTCAATGAATTATATTGAAAATTATTTAACTTATTATATTAAATAAAATAAATAAATAAATTTATAATAAAGAAATTTATAATAATCAATAATAATAATAATAAATGTAAAATAATTAAAAAATTATCTAAAATTAATATTTATATTCTGTTTCTGTATAACTCTAATAATATTTATAAATTTAAATCAAACTATAACTTATAAATTATTACATCAATTATTTTATTACAGTTTCATAAATAATTATAAATAAAATAAAATGCTATTACTATTAATAATAAACATTTAAAATATTATGTAAAACTAATTGTAATATTAAAAAAAATATATATATATTATTAATTAATTTTATAGTTATAATAAATTATTTAACTATTATTTGTTTTAGATTTTATTTATGAAAAAAATAAATTTTAACACAATTTTATTTACAAAATAAATTAATAAATTATTCAACAAAAAAAACTAAATTAAATACTAATTTTTTTTATAATCACACAAAAAAAATTGTAAATTTTTTTAAATTTGATTTTTAATTTGATTATTAATACATTAATACATATTATAATTAATTTGTTTATGTTATAAAACAAAAATCAATTTTTTATTATTAAAAAACAAATATTAATTTAATTAATTAATTATTATTTTTTAAAAAAAATTTGATTATTAATACATTAATACATATTATAATTAATTTAGTTAATGTTATAAAACAAATAATCAAACAAACAAAAAAAAATCAATTTTATTATTAAAATAAAAAAATATTAATTAATTTATTTATTTTATTTTTTTTTTTTGGTTGATTAACACGTAATGTATTTACAATACAAATACAAATAATAATATAAAACCATTGCATCAGTGAATCACATGTTTTGTTTGGTCATTGAATTTGAAACCAAAAAAAAAATAATAAAATATTTTTTTTTAATTAATATTTTTTTTTTGAATCAAAACAATCGATTCAGTGATCAAAACATTGTCTATTCAGTGGTCAGTGGACAACACCGACGGCCAACTAAACAACCAAACAATGACTTTACGGCGACTAAAAGTTTTGGTATTTGATTCGCAACTCTATTGGCTGTCCATTGATGTCCATCAAAGCTATCGCCGACGACTCAGCCGCAGTCATACAATGGACACCAATGGTGGCGACACCGCCGCCGCCGCCACTGGCGATACCCGACAATACCCGCAGCCGCCGATGATAATTGTCGAAACTGTCAAAGATTTGAAGCTAGTATTGGCCAACGAGTTGCCGCCGACGGTAATCGGTGGCTRTTGTGTTGGTGGCGGTGCCGTCGGTGGTCAACAACAACAAGCGTTTGACATCTATCTCGAAGACATACAACTAATGGACGACCAGACTGTACGGCTGTTTCAGGACAACGATTTTATTGAAGTCAGACACCGATTGATGCCGACCGGCGGCGGCGGCGGCTGTGGTGGTGGCGGCGGTGGCCAACAACAGACACATAGACAACATTTGAAACGATTGGTGGCCACCAGGAAGTTGGCTGCGGCTAAGACATCGGCGGCGGCAGCTTCGGTGACAACGGTCAACAAGAAAACAGCGGCGTTGATAGCGGCCAAGTATTTTAGTGACACTTATTAGTGGCCAAAATTAGTGGCCCGAACTGCATAACTAATCTCTYTCTCTCTCTCTCTCTCTAACCGTGAATAGCGGGTCATCGGATCGGTCATCGCAACAGCAGTCGATGTTATCATCGGCAACSACTGCGGAGGCCATCGATGAYCAGTGTTGTGATAGCGGCGGCGGMGGMGGAGGCCGTTGTTGTCAATCTGATAACAGTCTGACCAGAGTTGCCGAACGGACAACAATAGCCGCTAACCAACAACAACAACAACAACAACAGTCATCGGAAACTGCTTACAGCGTTGAGATTCAACTGACCAAACATTTACTAACCGATAAGCTAACAATGGGTTTATCGGTTACGGCAACAACAACAACGTCATCATCAGCTGCGGCCGCGGCTAAGCCGACAGAGACTACGAAAGTTTCGTCCATTACTACTACTACTACTACTAGTACGGCTGGAAATTTTGCAAAACCCGTAGTGTTGGCGGCCACGGCGGGTAAACCCCAACGGTTGGCCAAAACACCGATAACTGTGACAACAACAACAACAACAACTGGTTTACCGAAAAAATTGGTCAACGATTCTATGAAAAAGTAATTTTTTAGTTTTTTTATATACAAAAAAAACAAACAAACGAAAACATTTACCGATAAATTATTTTATTAATTATTTTTTACAATATTATTATTAGTAGTAGTATTAATATTATTAATTTAAAACCCGAATCATCATCACTGGCCAACACAACAAGCAATGTTACGGCGCCGCYACCGCCGGCATCATCACTACCACCATCATTGCCACCACCACCGCCACTACCGGCGCTGCCAACTAAGCGATTGTTGGCCAACACCGCCAACACCACTATCAACACTACTAATCACCGAATACCGGTACCGTCGCCGCTGGCCAGAGGCCAATGGGTTTGCTGTTTGTGCGACGATATACTTGGCAATTGGAAATCAGTGGCCACTCATCATAAACCTTATCGGTGCGAGGCCTACGAGTACGGCCGTCGCGAAATTGTTGGCCAATTTGGTGTCGGCGGCRGYGGCGGCGGCGGACTAGTATTGGTTGCCGAAAGATATTATTGATATCTTTAATATCAATAAAATTTTTAAGTTATTATAATATTATTATTATTTTTTTTTTAAAAATTATAAATCAATAGCCTATAAATGTTTAATACTATTTTGTGTATAAGTTTTGTTATTATATCCATAATATTTGTTTAATTTTTTATTTATGAAAAACAAAACAAAAAACATATATTATATCTGAAACTATTATTTTTTGTTTAAATTTAGATTTTTTTTATATTAATAATTTGTTTTTTTTATTATAAAAATAACTGATAATAGAAATTATTGTTTTGATTATTGTTTTTTTTAAAAAAAATATGATTTGATTTTGTTACTAATAATAATGATTATTAATAATTTTTTTTTTAAACAAAAAGTTTTAAATGTTTTATCATTTAAAAATTTAGTAAATTTTAATTATGGTTATATTTTTTTAAAAACTTATTTTATTAATCTATAATAATAATAATAATACAATTAGTAATTTTGAAAACTATGTTAATAAAAAACTAGTATTAAATAGATATATAAATATTTATTATTTAAAAAAAAAATTATCGTAATTTTGTAAAAATATTGATAATAAAAAATTATAGTTTTGATTATTGTTTTACATTAATTGTATTAATGTTTTATTATTTAAATGTTTTTTTTTAAAAGTATTACTAACTTTTTTATATATATTTTATTATTAGTAATAACAGTTTTATCTTGAAAATATTACTATTTAAGCAATATAATTTATTTATTTTATTTTTTAATTTTTTTTTTAAAAAAGATCATATTATTAAAAATATATATAAATATTATTAAATAAATTCAATTTAATAAAACATAGTACGAATTAAATTAATAGTAATTATTATGTTTTTTTTTAATTATTGTTTATAATTGTTATAATTAATTACTATTTAGTAAAACTTTTTAAAAAAAATCAATATAACAAAATATCAAAATAAAAACTAATTATATTAATTTAATTATATATATATATATATATATATGATAACTAAACTAATTATTTTACAATAAATAAGTAGCTAATTAAACATGGTTAAAAAAATAAAACTTTACAAAAAAAAATATTTTTAACTGTATATCATTAATTAATAAAAAAAATTCCCAATAAATAAAAAAATAAATAATAGTTTTATTATTAAGTTGAAAGTCAATAAACATTATTGTTATTTAAAAATATTAAATAACAATATTAATTATTTAATTTATTTATATTCAAACAAAAAAATAATTAAAAATTTTTATTTTAATTAATTGATTTTTTAAACACAATTATTAACAAATAAATTAATTACTTATCAATCAATTACTATTAATATCATATATTTAAACAGATGTTAGTTTTTTGTTAATTGAAAACAAATTTAATACTTTAAAAAAAACTATAAAAACTTTCAGACAAAACAAAAAATATATCTATTATAACAATTAGTTATTATTATTATTAATAATAATTATAATTTTAAATACAAAAAAAATTATTAATCATATTTTTCATTAAAAGTTTGTTAAAAAAAATTTTTTTTTAATAAAAAAATATGAGTTTTAAATTATCTATATTAGTCGTAATCATTGCTATACTACTATACAGTGGCTCAGGTATGTAACCATCCCCACCACCCCCATCCCATACTCCTAACTAATTATTAAATTATATATTTAAAATAATTACAATTATTATTAATATATATATATATATATATATATATAGCTCAGTGTAAAGGTGGTAGTGGTGGTGGTAAAGGCCATGGAGGCGGACAGGCAGGTGCTCACGGTAGCGGACATGGCGGAGCATCGGCTGGTGGCGGTGCCGGTGTTAGTATGGGTGCCGGTGCTGGCGCCAGTGGTCACGGAAAAGCTGCCGGTAGTGGCCATGCGGGAGGTGGAGGAGGAAGCGGTCATTAATTTTTATATTTAAATACATATCAATATATTTAATAATTATTAATAATAATTTATAAAAAAAATATTGTCTAAAATTATTTTTAAAAAATATAGTTTAATAATAATAAAAAAAATTCAATTTATTTCTAATACTACTATAAAAACAAGTTTTATTTTTTATTTAAATTATTATTTTTTTTAATTTGTTTACTAAAATGTAATTTAATTATTGATATTATTATTATTGTTGTTGTTGTTATTGAATTAATTAATTAATTGATTAAATTAAATAACATTTTTGTTTTTTTAGTTAATAATTTTTATTTAGTAAATTAATTATATAATCTAATAGTTTTATGCAAAATTTTATATGAATTAATGGAAATAAAAATTTTTGAGTAATAAATACTAATAAAAAMAAATTCATTATTCATATATAATATTCAATATTTATTTTGATWTTTTTTTTAGTAAACAATTATTAAAGTATAGATATAATAGTTTTTTTTAAAAMAAACTAACAAAAAATAATTAAATTTTAATACATATATAAAACTTTGTGTCTTTTTTAGTAACCGTTTATTTGCTAATCAAATAGTTTAATAACGTTTTCCCGAACCACCCATCGATAGACCCGAACCTCCATAGCCGCCACTGCCACCGCCAATACCGCCGATTGAACCGCCGAGACCACCACCGAGACCGCCGCCGAAACCACTTTGACCAGAGGCTACCAGAGTCTGGATATTTCGACAACCGGTCGKATCTCTTGGATGATCTGACGCTGCGGTACAACCACTTCGCGGACCATCTGGAAAACAGGTCGTACGACTTCATGGCTGAGCTGATGTGGCTGATCGACCGATTGGGTGGACTGATGGCTACCCTGTTGGCCGATATGATGTTGGGTGGCCAACAACGGTGACGATCGGCTGAGGAAATTCATTTGRACGGGTTGTACACTGCTATCGAYGTCGACAATAGTCGGTGCCGATGATCCCAGTTGACTGCCGGTAGGTATYAGCTGTAGACTACGTGAGCTAATAATGGCWGCGTTTACACGCCCACCGCCGCCGCCGCCGAGTCCTCCCATACCGCCACCTAATCCCAGTCCAAGTCCACCCATACCGCCGCTGCCATAACCGCTTGTATAGCACTGGCCTACGACTACTGCTAATCCAATTATGACAAACTGTATGCAACAAAAAAAAATAAAATAATATTTAAATAATTTAATAATAAAATATCTAAACTTTTAGTTTAATTATAGTTAGTTACTAACGTTAAGCATATTTTTTAATATTAATAATAATAATTWWAAATAATTTAAAATTAAATATTTTTAAAATAAATAGTTTTTTAAGTAAAACTGTTTAGTGTTAGACAACACTGTTTGATTGACTGACTAACTGTCCGATTGACAAACAGCTTATATAGTCCATAGGATTGACATTTTTTTGTTGTAATTTTTAAAAAACTTAAAAATTAAAAGACTATTTAAAAAAACTTTTAATTTTTATTTATTTTTGTTTGTTTGTTATGTTTGTTACATAACTTCACATCACTTTTATTTATATATATATATATATATATATATTATGTATGCATAGTATATATATTGTAAAATATTTTTTATATATTTAAAAAGTAAATTTAAATAAATCATATTTTARACTCACATACAGTATAMTATTTTTAAAAAAAAATTATATATGTATTTAAATTTTAAAACAGTTATGAAACAAATAATAATAAAAATTTTATTATTTTATTTTAGTTTAATATAATTGTCTACATATATGTTTGTTTATGTAAATTTTTAACTAGTTAGATATTTATCTAGCTAAAAAAAATTATTATTTAATTTTTAAAATTTTTTATGTTTAACTTTCACTTTTTTTATATTAATGCAAATATTTTTTCTAAAATTCTAGATCATAATGTAATATATTTATTATGATACACACCCACCAGTCCCTATTGGATAGGGATACCGGCCCTACCTAACTGAGCCACCTATATAAACGCCAACATAAGTTTAGGTTCGGGGTCTTCTACTGTATTACTACTGTACTGTATTTACTATACTTTATATATATATATACAATAAAACCTGTTTATTATAAATATTGTGTGAATTTATTTAACTGTTAAAAAACTAGTGTGTTATCTACTATACCCAACCCGCCGGCTCCGGGATTGCAAATCTATTGCAATTGGAGGTCCTACCGAGACCTTCCCGTAGAGTGTGGTAAAAGGTTCGGGAACAGGCGCCTTGCCAGTGAAGTGAGTCGAGTGGGAAGAGAAGGTACCACCCGATCATTGTCACAATAAAGGAGAAGCGATTCCCGTTCGACTCCACTTTGGAAGGTCTAAGAACAGTGAAATACGTCGACGGATTGGTTTGATGAACACCAGATTCAGAGGAAGAGGAACACCAGCTAGGAGACCAGGACATCATAACATGGCTGACGATCGAAACGGCATCTCTATTCAGGAGCTCAGACAGGTCGTCAATGAAGTAGTAAGTGGTGGACTTTCCTCTTTAGGTAATTTTAGGATTAGTAGTTACGAAGGTAACATAAGTAGCGAAGCGCAAGAGTGGATCGATGATTTCATCGATGCCACTAATCTCAAAGGCTGGGATGACAATAAACGTTTCAACAATTTTAATCAATTCTTAAGCGGGAAAGCTAAGAATTGGTATAAATTATATGTTAAACTGGCCGGTAATAATGCTCCAACTAATTGGATAAATTTATACCGGGCTTTTATTAGGTATCATGTACCGACAGATAGACAAAATGACCTAAGGAATAGGATGATTAGGAGAAAACAGTTAGAGTACGAGGATGCGAAACAGTATATAACCGATAAGCGTCTTAAGTGTTTAGAATATAAGACAGATATGCCCGAAAATGAACAAATAGATTTCATAAGTGAAGGTTTTAAACCAGAGATTAAGAGATGTGTATATCAATTCAATAGTACTACAATTGATGAGTTGATAACCAATGCATCAAACATTGAGAAAGGGTTAACCAAAGCTGGACTGGATTTCGAAAACATGTCTAACAAGCAAAATGATAATCAACTGATAAGTGACTTGAATAATAAGTTCGAAAAATTATTCACTAAATTAGACAAAGAGGCCGAATACCGAGAGAAACGCGAGCGAAACTATAATTATGATAGGTTCGGCAGGAAGATAGAGAGATACGGGAGTAATTCTAGTTTTAATAGATTTAATAATCGAAATAATTCTATTAATTATTCATCAAGAGATCAAACATCTCACATTAGAAACCCATCACTAGATAATCTCAATAATAGATCTAATATAAGATCTACTACAGCAGTGAGTTATAATGAGAAAGCATTTGATAGATCTTCCCCAGAAAGACATTATGATAAACCTTTTCAAAGAGGTTACCCAAATGATATATATAATAATAAGCCAAATTTCTCAAATGAAGGAGATAATGATAGACGGCATGATAGAAACAATTCCGTTGAAAGATATAGCCGGGAAAGTAGCCCATATAATAGAAACAGAAATTACTATCCCAATAACAATAATTATCGTTCATTGTCATACTCTCCAAGAAATGATCGCCGGAATCCCCCACCCGATCATGAACCCAACAGATCCAATAACCCTCAAATTAAACGTGTCGAGTTCGATGTAGCACGGGAAAGAAGTAGATCCCGTAACTTGACAGGCGATAACGCATGTTATCTCTGCAAAAAGATAGGTCATTACGCTCGCAACTGTCCGACAAAAGAAGAGTTACAAGTAAATACTCTCGCAGATACATACAATGATGATCTTCAATGCCAGTCCAAACATCTTAAGTTAATCTTTAAAATAGTAGAAATAGAAAACAATAGTGTTGAGGCTTTAATTGACACTGGCGCTGAAGTGTCCCTAATTGACTATAATGTAATTAAGCGCTTTGGTCTAAAAATGTATAAAATCGGTAACGAAGATATCAGGGCCGTCAATGGAAAGAAAGTTAAAACAATAGGCAAATTATATCCTAATATTACTGTCACTATCAATGGCCTAACTAAGGTAGTTAATGTCAAGGTAATTGTTGTTAATGATTTTCACTTTCAATTGTTGTTAGGAAATAATTTTACCGAAAAATCAGGTATTTTCATTGATTGTGCTAAACGTGAGATTATGTGGAGAGAGTCTATTAAAAACCTCAATTGTTCTGAAAATCAATTTCATGATAATAAGCTTCATATTGCTAAAGCTCTAACTGTACCTGCAAATGAACCACAAATACTACAGGTCAGGCCTAACAATAAAACAAAAAGATTGCCTTATTTTCACTGCAAATTTATTACCTCAAAATCATTTATAAAAAAATATAATCTCGAAATCAAAACAGATAAACTAATGATTAAATATAGTAAGGGAAACATTTGTGTTTTTAATAATAACAGTTATGATATACACCTCAATGATGGTGTAATTGTTGGCTATTTTGTAATAGATAAAGAGTCAGATAATGAATCTGATACTGGCATTAAGTCTAACTCAAGTGAAAGTGTTATATCATTTTCAAGTGATAATACAGAGACCTCAGAAGAATATACAGAAACCTCTGATGAATATCACACATATGACACTGATAGCTCATGCAGCGACATTGATACCACAACAGATATTGTCAAATGCGAATACTGCGAGAACAATGAGCAAATAGTAGATCAATGCATGGATAGATATATTTATTGCAGTAATGCTTATTGTAGGTATGCTACAGACAAACAGTATAATAACAATAGTCCAAGTTATGCCGAGAAACCCATTCGTGGGATTTTGAAAAATAACAATAAAGGAATAAATACACGTTATATAATAAGTACTGATCTAACAACAGAGCAACAAAGTAAACTAAATGAATTACTTGAGTGTTATAGTAACGTTTTTGCATTTGACAAAAACACATTAGGCTTATGTAATATAGAAGAATTTACACTTAAACTCAAAAGTTTAGAGCAAAAGC